TTTTTTTTTTCTTTTCTCTCTATAAATATATATAAATATAAATATATATATATATATATATTACAAATTTCAAGAGGCAAAGTTTTTTGTTGTAGTGAGCGGCTGAAACTTCCTGCACTGGAGAATTTTCTGGAAAAAAAAGTCACCCCTTGTTCCAGCTGGGTGACCCTAGAATTGCTTCTCAGTCTTTTTTAATTTTTAATTTTTAAATATTTTATTAGAGTGTCTTAACGCCGTTGTGTTTAAAAAAAAATAATAAAAAAAATATATATATATAATGCTGGTATGTAATGCAAGTATATAAATAGCCAAAGTCATTTTCAGTAATTGTTCAGTGTTAATTAAATTTTGCTTTTATTTTAACCTTCTGAGAGAACAGTTAGGGAGACCTTCAGCGTGTTAAAACAATCATCCTGAAAATTCAGATTACGAGCAAAAAAAATCATCCTGAAAATTCAAATGATGAGCAAAAAAAATCATCCTGAAAATTCAAATTATGCACAAAAAAAATCATCCTGAAAATTCAAATGATGAGCAAAATTCAAATTATGAGCAAAATCATCCTGAAAATTCAAATTATGAGCAAAAAAAATCATCCTGAAAATTCAGATTCTGAGCAAAATCATCCTGAAAATTCAAATTACGCAAAAAAAAATCATCCTGAAAATTCAAATTTTGAGCGAACTGGATTTAGGGCAGGGATGTTGGAGCACATTTCAGGTTTGAATTAAATCAGGAGGAAAAGCTTTTAAATCTTGAATTTGAAGCTTTTGAAATTGAAATTTTCCTTTTGCGCTGTCCTGACACTTCAAGCGCTGCTTTGGCATTTTTGGGAATTTGTTGTTCAGAATCCCTGGAGGTCTTTCCTGAGGAATCAGGTGACTTTTTTCTATTGCTTCGATTTTTGTGCAAAAAAACCAAAAAAAAAACAAAAAAAAAGAAAAATACAACAAAAATAAAAATAAAAATCAATGTATCGCAAATTTTTTTTTTTTTTTAAAAAAAAATAAAATAAAATACGGGGCGGGAATAGTTGAAGAAAATTATTTTGTGTAAGAACTGACAGAGGGATTCTGCTTTGTATAACGCGGCTTTAGAAAAGCTTTGTAGCAAATGATTCAATGGGATGTTCACGGTTATGTGCGACCGGACGTGCAGAACAATTGTATTTTTTTAAATAAATATTTTTAACAAAGTTGCCGCTCCTTTGACTGGTTTGTGTTTTGCTTTCTGCGGAGAAAATAGAAATTGCAGCGCGCTGAGGAGGGAGTTCAGACGTTGAGGTAAATTGTGTTTTAGTGTTGCTGAATCGGGTGTTATTCAGGTGAAAATTGCCTTTAATTAAGATTTTTTTCCACTATAAGTGGCCAAAATGGGGATTGGGATTGCCAAACCCAAGGAGTGTGATGGTGGATTTTAATTGAAAAGAAATTGAGCTGTTTTATCAAACAGAACTCTTTATTTTAATTTTAATTTAATGAACAGAACGTAATTCTTGGAATTACCAAACCCAAGGAGTGTGATGGTGAATTTTGATTGAGAAGAAATCGAATTCTGTTTTTACCAAACAGAAGTAATTTTAATTAATTTTAATTTTAATTTTTTAATTTTACCAAACAGAATTTTAATTCTTGGAATTACCAAGCCCAAAAAGTGTGATGGTGAATTTTTAATTGAAAAGAAATTGAGTTTTGTTTTACCAAACAGAACTCATTTTAATTTTAATTTTACCAAACAGAATTTTAATTATTCAAATTCCTAAGCCCAAGAATTGTGGTGGTAAATTTTTAATTAAGAAGAAATTGAACTGTGTTTTACCAAACAGAACTCAATTTTAATTTTAATTTTAATTTCACCAAACAGAACTTAATTTTAATTCTTGGAATTACCAAGGCCAAGAACTGTGATGGTGGATTTTAACTGAGAAGAAATTGAATTCTGTTTTACCAAACAGAAGTAATTTTAATTTCAATTTTAATTTTACCAAACAGAATTTTAATTCTTGGAATTACCAAGCCCAAAAAGTGTGATGGTGAATTTTAATTGAGAAGAAATTGAGTTTTGTTTTAACAAACAGAAATAATTTTAATTTTAATTTAATGAACAGAACTTAATTCTTGGAATTACCAAGGCCAAGAACTGTGATGATGAATTTTTAATTAAGAAGAAATTGAGTTTTGTTTTACCAAACAGAACTCATTTTAATTTTACCAAACAGAATTTTAATTCTTGGAATTACCGAGCCCAAGAACTGTGGTGGTGGATTTTATTTGAAAAGAAATTGAGCTTTGTTTTACCAAACTGAACTAATTTTAATTTTAATTTTACCAAACAGAACTTAATTTTAATTCTAAACTCAATTTAAATTTAATTTTTAAACTCAAGAACTGTGATGGTGAATCTTAATTGAAAAGAAATGGAGCTGTTTTACCAAACAGAACTCATTTTAATTTTAATTTTACCAAACAGAATTTTAATTATTCAAATTCCCAAGCCCAAGAATTGTGATGGTGAATTTTTAATTAAGAAGAAATTGAGCTGTGTTTTACCAAACAACTTAATTTTAATTCTTGGAATTTCCAAGCCCAAGAACTCTGATGGTGGATTTTAACTGAGAAGAAATTGAATTCTGTTTTACCAAACTAATTTTCATTTTAATTTTACCAAACAGAATTTTAATTACCAAGCCCAAGACCTGTGATGATGAATTTTAATTAAGAAGAAATTGTGCTCTGTTTTACCAAACTAATTTTAATTTTAATTTTACCAAACAGAAATTAATTTTAATTACCAAGCCCAAGAATTGTGATGGTGAATTTTAATTGAAAAGAAATTGAACTGTGTTTTACCAAACAGAACTCATTTTAATTTTAATTTAATAAACAGAACTTAATTCTTGGAATTACCAAGCCCAAGAACTGTGATGGTGAATTTTAATTGAGAAGAGATTGAATTCTGTTTTAACCAAACAGAACTCATTTTAATTTTACCAAACAGAATTTTAATTCTTGGAATTACCAAACCCAAGGAGTGTGATGGTGGATTTTAACTGAGAAGAAATTGAGCTGTGTTTTACCAAACAGAACTCATTTAAATTTTAATTTTACCAAACAGAACTTTAATTCTTGGAATTACCAAACTCAGGAACTGTGATGGTGAGTTTTAATTGAGAAGAAATTGAATTCTGTTTTACCAAACTCATTTTAATTTTAATTTTACCAAACAGAACTTAACTTTAATTACCAAGCCCAAGACCTGCGATGGTGAATTTTAATTAAGAACAAATTGAGTTCTGTTTCCCCAGCCCTGCCAGGCCAGAGTGAGAGATGATCTCAGAGCTGCCAGCCCTGCGGAATTTCTTCCCCAATTTTGGTGCTCATTTCCTTCAGCAGGGCCCAGAGATTCTCTCATGCAGGGAGGGGCTCGAGGAAGGGCAGATTGAGGTTTTTATTTCGCTGTAAATGTTGTTTTTTGGGGGGGTTTTTTTTTGTGGTTTTTTTGTCTGTGGTGGTTTTTCATTGCGGGTGGTTCGTTCTGAGGGGAGGAACAGCGGCACCGTGTGGAGCTGGAGGGGAATCACAGCCTGGGATCAAATCCCAGAAGGGTTTGGGGTGGCGGCGTCTCAAAAACCTCCAAATTCCACCCCAGGGTGCCCCAGCCTGGCCTGGAATTGGGTTTATTTTCATTGCAGGAGCACAGAATAAATGGGGTTTGAGGCAGGAGGTGTCCCTGCAGTGCGGGGATGAGCTGAACCCAGAATTCAGCTGCACTGACCTGATCCAAACTCACCTTGCGGGAGGAAAATGGCAATTTAACAACTCCAGGCTCTGCTCCGCAGGAGTTTGGGGAGATATTTAATGGCAGGGAAGAGCTGGTGCTTGAAAAATGGGAATTTCCCAAAGAATTTGTGGCTGCCCCATCCCTGGAAGTGCCCAAGGCCAGGCTGGAGAAACCTGGGACAGAGGAGGTGTCCTTGGCCATGGAATGAGGTTTTTAGGATCCCAAACCCTTCTGGGATTTGATTCCCACCCTAGCAGAAATTCCAATTCTATTCCAACCCCCGATCAGATCCCATTCAGCCTCTATGGGATTTAAGGCATTATGGGATTTAAGGAATTACAGGATTTAATGTCCCTCCCACCCCGAACCATCCCACAGCTCTTCAAATGCCAAAACCAATTTATTTATTTCTTATTTTTTAACCCTGTTAAATTTTAAATGCATGACTTTCAAAACCTGAGAACTGGAGGTGTTGGGAGTGAGTCCAGGCAGCGAGCAATTAGCAATCAATCAATCACCTTTAATTAAACACTGCTCTATATACACACGTACATATGTACATCACGTACAGCAGTTCAAGCAAGGAGTTGCAGCCACAGCCACTCCTGGCAGGATTTTGACATTCCCCAAAAATTCCAGTCCTTTCCTGGTGGCTGGGACGGGCCATGCTGGGGCTGTGGGAGTACCTCACACAAGGCACCTGGAGGAGGAGGAGATTGCACGGGTGAAGCAGCTGGAGCCTAGCTCCCAAAAAAAAAAAATAAAATAAAAATTCAAAACAAATCCCTTCTATCGCGGAGCTTGGCTTGGAAGTTGGAAATAAAACCAATATTGAAATAAGACACTGCAGCTGGAGCAGCTCGAGGAGTGACTTAAAGCAAAAGGAACCAGCACAGCTCATTGTTGACTTAAAAAAAAACAAAGAAACCCCTCCCAAAAAAGAAAAACAAAATTAAAAAAGCAAATGATTACTTAAAATCATTGAAGAGGCCTGAGCATGCTGAGTAAGACACTGTTTAGAGTGTGGAATATACAGGAATTAAGTGTGCAAATGGAGACAGGCCCTGCGGCCTGTGTGTGCACCTGGGGGCTCTGCCACTGTGGGATTCCCCCCCTTTGCAAGGATCGAGGGAGGTGGCACAGAATTTATCACAAAAACGAATAAAAACCCAGGATTGTGCTGCAGATTCGAGGGGATTCCTGTGCACCACAGGCCAGAAATAAAATCTTGTCAAGATTCAGTCTTGGACGAGGAGCAGAGAGCAGCTTTTCCTTTTCACCCTGTGTTCTGAGCAGGTAAAAAAAGTTGATTTGCAGGAGAAAAAAACTTCATTTGCAGGAGAAAATAAACTTAATTTGCAGGAGAAAAAAAAAAAACTTCATTTGCAGGAGAAAAATAAACTTCATTTGCAGGAGAAAAAAAACTTCATTTGCAGGAGGAATTGCTGTGCAAATGTCCCTGCTTTTAGTCCCAGGATCAGGCTGGCAGGATTCTTGGCACAACCCCGTGCTCAGCTCGACATTTTGGGCTTGATTTCTTCGATTCTGCCTTACCCCACCTACTGTGCTTTTGATTGCAGAGAACTTGCATGATTCAGTTCATTAAATGTGAAATCGCCCTCGGGATTAATGTTTAATTGGGGCTGGGTTTATTGCTTGTGCCGGGCCGGGCCCTCCCTCAGCGCTGGTACTGCCCCGTGTCCTCAGGCACTGCTGCTTTCTCCGGGGAGGCCTCGTCCAGCTCTGCCAAAGATTAAATCGGTATTTCACCTCAATGGATGCTTTCATTGGGATTAAAGGGGATGGGTGTGAGGTTTTCCCCTCAGGAATGTTGATATTTTATCACCCCCCACCATGTCCAGGCCTTCCCTGGGTACCTCCAGGGATGGGCGCTCCAAACCCCCCTGGGCAGCCCCTTCCAGCCCTTTCCATGAGGAAATTCCTGCTGATGTCCAACCTGAGCCTCCTCAGCCCAGCCTGAGGCCGTTCCCTCTCCTCCTGTCCCTGTTCCCTGGGATAAGATCCCAAATCCCCCCCGGCTGTGCCCTCCTGGCAGGAGCTGTGCAGAGCCAGAAATTCCCCCTGAGCCTCCTTTGCTCCAGGCTGAGCCCCTGCCCAGCTCCCTCAGGACTCTCCAAACCCTTCCCAGCTCCCTCAGGGCTCTCTCAACCCTTCCCAGCTCCTTCAGGATTCTCCAAACCCCTTCCAGATTTCTCCAAACCTTTCCCAGATCCTCCAGAGCTCTCCAAACACTTCCCAGCTCCCTCAGCTCCTCCAAACCTTTCCCAGCTCCCTCAGGACTCTCCAAACCCTTTCCAGGTTTCTTCAAACCCTTCCCAGCTCCCTCAGGATTCTCCAGACCCTTACCCAGCTCCCTCAGCTCCTCCAAATCCTCCCTCAGGATTCTCCAAACCCTTCAGGATTCGCCAAACCCTTTAGGATTCGCCAAACCCTTTCCAGCTCCCTCAGGATTTCTCCATTCCCTTTCCCAGCTCCCTCAGGACTCTCCAAACCCTTCCCAGCTGCCTCAGGACTCTTCAAACTCTTCCCTGGTTCTCTCAGGACTCTCCAAAACTTCCCCAGCGCCCTCAGCATCCTCCAAACCCTTTCCAGGACTCTCCAAACCCTTCCCAGCCCCCTTAGTACTCTCCAAATCTTTCCCAGCTCCCTGAGGATTTCTCCAAACCCTTCCCAGCTCCCTCAGGACTCTCCAAACCCTTTCCAGATTTCTCCAAACCCTTTCCCAGCTTCCTCAGAATTCTCAATTTCCATTCCTTTCCCAGCCCCTCAAACCTGGGGCCCAGAACTGGGCCCAGCCCTCGAGCTGTGACCCCAGCAGTGCCCAGCACAGCCCAAGCCACACCTGGCCGTGCTTTTTGCCAGTCCCACTCTGCTCCTTTCGTATAAAAACAACCAGCAGCTCCAGACTGAGGTGATAACCCAAAAATCCTTTATCCGTGAGGCTTTTCCCAGAGCCTGACAGCTGCCCTTGGATGGCAGCCCTGCTGATTCCCTGGATTCCAGCCAGGGAACAGCCCAGGGAAGCTGGTGCTGCCTGTGATTCCTGCTTTTTCCCCTTGCTTCTCCAGCAGAAAAGAAAGCAAACCCTGAGCTCTGCCTGCCAAGGCTTTGTGGGCAAGACAAAGCAGGAAAAGGAGAGAGGAAGCAGCAGGAAAATAAACATTTCCTTGCATTTTGCTGGAATCTCTGGAGTGAGGCTCGTGCTGCTCCTGCTCCCGTCCCAAAGCTGGGCTCAGGGCTGGGGTTCCCTTACCTGGGCAGGGCTTGGGGTACATCCTGTGGAAAAACACCAGCAGGGCGTAGAAGGTGAAGGCCAAGCATCCAAAGATCATCCCACACACCAGGAAACTGTAGCTGCCCCGATCGTGGATAATCTGCAGTGGGATGGGAAATTGAAAAAGGGATCAGACATCACTCAGATCCCTCGTGGATCATCAGGGAGGGCTCTGCTGGCTGATAACTGCTCAGTGAGAGCAGAACTGAGGGTTTGACTCGTAAATTCCAAATTTCTTTTGGGTTTTGCCAGCTCCTGGCTACTCACCGAGCCCACCAGCAGCTGCAGCACCATCTCTCCAATGCCAGCTCCAGTCACCAGCACGGTGGTGGCACAACCTGTGAGGAAGCAGAGGTGGTGGCGGCAGAGTGGCACAGCCAGCAGGGCCACCCTGTGCTCCCTTAAAGCTTTCCTGTGGATCTCTCCACACAAAAATCAAAAATACTCAATGTGCATTCCTACTTAACGCTGAAAATTCCCCAGCAGACCTGCAGCAGTGCAGAAAGGTGAAAGTTGAAGTAAAAAAAAAAAATCTAATCTCCTGTCACCTGTCTGTGCTGGCAGAGCTGGTGCTGGGAAGGTTTTTGTGTTTCTGGCTCACTGCCCTCGAGACAGAGGCTGCCAGGGAGCTCCTGGGGGAGCTGGCCAGGCTCTGTGTAGCCATGATATTTTCTGAAAAACCCCTTTTTGCCAGGATTTTATCTCCTGAGAAGCTGAGAGGCCTCAGGAACAAAATGCAAACAATGATTATCTGCTGCTGTGGAATGCAACAGGTGCATCTGTGATTGGTCTCATGGGGCTGCTTTTAATTAATGGCCAATCAAAGTCAGCTGGATCGCACTCTCCGAGAGCCACAAGCTTTTGTTATCATTCTTTTCCTCTTCCTATCCTTTTCCTTTCCTTTCCTTTCCTTTCCTTTCCTTTCCTTTCCTTTCCTTTCCTTTCCTTTCCTTCCCTTCCCTCCTTTCTTCTATTCTTTTAGTACAGTTTTAATATATCATTTTCTTTCAATATAATATATATAATAAAATAATAAATCAGCCTTCTGAAACATGGAGTCAAGATTCTCATCCCTTCCCTCATCCTGTGACCCCTTTGAACACCACCACAGCTCTGGGCTTTCCAGCTTGGGTAATTTGCTGATGTTTCCAGAACCAGCTCAGGTAATTTTGGGGATGTTTCCAGAACCATCTCCCTCCCCAGCAGCGTTCCTGCCCCTCCCTGAGCTCCCCAAGCCAGGAATTGAAGCTGGATCCCCGCCTGGGGTCTTTATTCATCAGCAAAACAGAGAATTTTGGACACTTCCCTTCCACAAATCTGCCTCCAACAGCAAACCTGAACTTCCAGGCCTGCTGAGGGAGGAGGGAAGGAGCTGAAAAAAGGGGATGGGATGTAAAAACGCTCCAGGTGAAACGGCAGCTGACCTTGGTACTGCAGGATGTCCTCGGTGTAGGCCAGCATGCTGGGGAAGGCGCTGCTGAGGAACAGCCCCAGCGAGGCCGTGCCCACAAACAGGAAAACCACGCTGGAGGAGAAGATCAGGAGCAGCAGGAAGGTGATGAGCACCCCGACCTGTGGAGCAGCACCCCCAAAAATCAGTCAGAAAAATGCTGAGTGCAACAGGGTCTAGGGTTTGGGTGCAATAGGGAATATTCTGGAAGGGGAAATATATTTATTCTTAAGGGGAAATATTCTGGAGGAGAAAATATGTTTATTTTTAAGGGGAAATAGTCTGGAGGAGAAAATAGGGTTTTTTTTGAGGGGAAATATTCTGGAAGAGGAAATATATTTATTCTTAAGGGGAAATATTCTGGAAAAGAAAATATATTTATTCTTAAGGGGAAATATTCTGGAGGAGAAAATATATTTATTCTGAAGGGGAAATATTCTGGAAGAGGAAATATATTTATTTTTAAGGGGAAATAGTCTGGAGGAGAAAACAGGGTTTTTTTTAAGGGGAAATATTCTGGAAGAGGAAATATGTTTATTTTTAAGGGGAAATATTCTGGAGGATAAAATATATTTATTCTTAAGGGGAAATATTCTGGAAGAGAAAATATGTTTATTCCTAAGCGGAAATATTCTGGAGGAGAAAATATGTTTATTTTTAAGGGAGAATATTCTGGAAGAGGAAATATGTTTGTTTTTAAGGGGAAATATTCTGGAGGAGAAAATATGTTTATTTTTAAGGGGAAATATTCTGGAAGGGGAAATATTCTGGAAGAAGAAATATGTTTATTCTTAAGGGGAAATATTCTAGAAGAGAAAATATGTTTATTTTTAAGGCGAAATATTCTGGAAGAGGAAATATGTTTATTCTTAAGGGGAAATATTCTGGGGGAGATAATATGTTTGTTTTTAAGGGGAAATAGTCTGGAAGAGGAAATATGCTGGGAAAAAGAAAAAAAATATCAGTGCTTGAGAAACTGAATGGCCAAAGAAAATCCATCTGGCTTTGAATTTGCTAATTTTCATTACATAACTTGGTAATTAAGTCTTAATTTCATTACATAGAAATTTATGTATATGAAACATATACTTTTAAATGCAATAATGCCTTCCAGAGTATTTGCATGTCTTAATCACCAATAATTCTTTATTGTGCTGAGTAAGACTGAAGTCACTCTCAATAATTACAGAATTAACCCTCAATAACTGCTCAGCAAGCAGCCACAGCATTAAAGCCAAAAAGCCAACTGCATTTAAATTAAATTTCCCTCATCTCTGGCTTGTAGGGGAAATAACCAAAAACTCTGGGGAAACCTGAGTGATCCAGGGCACAGTCAGCAGAGGGAGCTCTGATATTCCAGCTCAGCAGAAATTTGGGTCCTGGAGACGCCAAATTCGAGCTGGAATTTGTTGTGATGCTGCTGCAATGGCTCCAGGAGCTGCTGGATCCTAAACAGCTCCCAGCACTGCACAGGGTCAGGGGCAGCCAGGTGGATTCTCGCTCAGAACATCCCAAAATCTTCTCCTCACTCTGTCAAATGGGTATTATAACTCACTGTAATGTGTTTTATTATCAAAATACAGCCACCGATACACTCCTGGTTCAAATAAATTGGAATTTAACTGCCTGCCTGTGCTTTTTGTCGCTGTAAGATTGGGATCATCCCCTCCCTGTTTTCTGCCATGTCCTCACCCATCCCACAGGGATTCCTGCCCCTTTCCCAAGGTGTTTTATTGACTTCAGCAATGGGCATTATAACTCACTGTAATGTGTTTTATTATCAAAATACAGCCCTCAAATTCACTTCTGGTTTAAATAAATTGGAATTTAACTGCCTGCTCATGCTTTTTCTCTCTGTAAGGGGATTGGGATCATCCCCTCCCTGTTTTCTGCCATGTCCTCACACAGATCTTCCTCACCCATCCCACAAGGATTCCTGCCCTTTCCCAAGGTGTTTTATTGATTTTATCAAGCTCTGCCAGCTGCTGCAGCCTCAGCAGAGAATTCACAGCGTGAGCTGCCTTCCCTTGGCCATGGCAAGGAATTCAGGAATTCATTCACCCCAGGAATCCACTTCCCTGTGGATGAAGGAGTCACTGTGTAAAGTCAATAAAATGGGCAAATTTTTTAGTGCCAGCTCTCCCAGCTGAGGAGCAGGCTCAGGAAAGTTGGGCAATGAAATCTGAAATTGTTGATACATGGGGGACGCCTGGCCCACCCCACCTGTGCAAACCCCCCAGGTGTGAGGGGAGCTGCAGCCCCAAACCCATCGCAGGAATTAACCAATTAACCCCATCCTTACCACGTTGATGAAGACCATGGTGGCTGGCTTCATCCTGTAGGACACGGGGATGGAGATGAGCCTGCCCAGGGTGATGAAGCCCCAGAAGAGGCTGGGCAGGTACCCGGCCACCTTGTGCACCACGGCCAGAGGCTCCTCCACGGCGTAGCTGTACACGAACCCCGAGTACTCTCCCTGCAGGAAAATCCTCTCTGTCACATCCCCGTGGGGACTTCAGGCTCCTCCGTCCCTCAGAGCATGGCGGAAGGGTTTGCAGACCCACCGGCAGCAGGATGTGGGGTTTAGTCTGTCCTAAAAGGGCAAAGCTCCAAGGAAAACCCAGAGATCCTCCCTGCCCTGCCCTCTTGGAGCTCCACGCTCTCCACACATCACATTTAGAGCTCAGGGTTGCTTATCCTTGGAAATTCCCATTCCTGTCTAACCCCTCTCACCACTGAGGAGCCCCTGAGGGTTTCACAGGGGTTTGGGAGGAAAAAATCCAGAAATTTGGACAACTGCACTCACCACGATCCCATCAGTCATGAAGAGAACCAGAGCGCCGGTGATGTGCACGGCGAAATAGGTGAAGGAAACCCCTCGGAAGTTCTTGCTCTGGCAGCAGCTGAACAAATCCTCGTGACCTGCTGGAGAACAATGCAAAGCAAACCTGAGCAGAGCGTCCCCCCGGGGCTGGGGGGCCGCCAGCCCTCAGAGGGGTTTGCTTTGTGGGACAGCCGCAGGACAGAGCCAAGCAGGACCCTGAACATCAGGCACTGCTGAGCTCGGGGGGCTCCAGCTCACCTTCACCTTCCTCTGAGCTTCCAGAGGGAAATGGGGACGGGTGTGGGGTCTGCCCAAAGCCTGAGAGCCTGGATCTCCACAGCCTGAGATCCTGGATCTCCACAGACTGGGATCCTGGTTTTTTTGGGGTACCTGCTGCCCACAGGCCAAAATCTGGGCTCTCCACACCCCAAAATCCTAGCTCTTCACACCCTGGGATCCCAACTCTCCATACCCCAAAATCCTGGCTCTCCTCACCCCAAAATCCTGGGCTCTCCATACCCTGGGATCCCAGCTCTCCACACCCCAAAATCCTGGGCTCTCTGTATGCCAAAATCCTGACTCTCCACACCCCAAAATCCTCGCTCTCCATACCCTGGGATCCCAGCTCTACACATCCCCAGGGATCCTGGCCCTCCATATGCCAAAATCCTGACTCTTCTCACCCCAAAATCCTGACTCTCCACACTGCAAAATCCTGGCTCTCCACACCCCCAAAATCCTGACTCTCCATTCCCCAAAACCCTTGGTCTCCTCACTCCAAAATCCTGGGCTTTCCACACCTCAAAATCCTCGCTCTCCACACCCCAAAATCCTGGTCCTCCACACCCCAGAATCCTGGGTTCTCCACACTCCAAAATCCTGGGTCTCCACACCTCAGAATCCTGGCTCTTCTCACCCCCAAAACCCTGGTTCTCCACACCCCAAAACCCTGGGCTCTTCTCATCCCCAAAACCCTGGTTCTCCACACCCCAAAACCCTGGGCTCTCCACACCCCAAATCCTGATTCTCCATACCCCAAAATCCTGGCTCTTCTCACCCCAAAATCCTGGCTCTCCACACTCCCAGGGATCCCGGCTCTCCATCCGCCAAAATCCTGGGTTCTCCACAACCCAAAATCCTGGCTCTCCATACAGCAAAATCCTGGCTCTCCATACCCTGGGATCCCAGCTCTCCACACCCCAAAATCCTGGGTTCTCCTCATCCCCAAATCCTGGGTCTCCATACCCCAAAATCCTAGGTTCTCCATGCCCTGGGATCCCAGCTCTCCATACCCCAAAATCCTGGCTCTCCATTCCCCAAAACCCTGGGTCTCCTCACCCCAAAATCCTGGCTCTTCTCACCCTAAAATCCTGGGCTTTCCATATACCAAAATCCTGGCTCTCCATACCCTGGGATCCCAACTCTCCATACCCCAAAATCCTGGGCTCTCCACACCCTCAAATCCTGGGCTCTCCATACCTCAAAATTCCACACCTCCTCACCCTGAAGAATTCCCTGAAACTCCCTTCCATTGCCCAGGGCCAAAGCCGTCTCTCCAGGAACAACACGGAACACTTCCCAAAGTCCTGAACCGTATTTACTTCTGAGATATTCACTGTTTACCCAAAGAATTGACTGTGACACGTCCCTGCTGGCCAGGAAAGAACAATGTCCCCATTGTCCCCAAGGCAGGGTGCAGCCATGAGGTCAAGAGCAAACTATTGCTGGATTTCACTTTTCCCCTCAAACAAGGGAGGGGGAAATTGGTTGTTTCTTATTCCTTTCCTATAAAAATCAGCGTCTGCAGCACAATGAACTGAAATAATCAGTAAGAAATGTCACCCTTTAAATGGAATAATCAGTAAGAAATGTGACTCTTTAAACTGAAAAATCAGTAAGAAATGTGACCCAAAAGCAGGAGGGAATTTAGGGGCACAACTGCCACGTGTCCCTAAAGGGTTGAGGGGCTTCAGGGTGGCTCAGAGAAACATGGAATGGAGAAACACAGCCTGGAGGCCTCACTGGGATTGGGACACCAACATCTGTCCAAGATTTCATCTAATTTGAGGGCAATTTGGGCACCAAATGTTTTGTTTGGGTATTCCTGGATGGGATCCCTGTGCACACTTTGCAACAGGCGGCAGAGCTGGGTCTCCCATTACACCCAGCCACTCAAATCCGGCTTTTTCTCCCCAGAATCCATGAGAGAGCTCACCTGCAGCTGTGTGGGGTCTCTGGGCAGCGGTGGAGAGCTCGTCCTTGTCCCCAGGCCGCGTCTCCAGGGCCAGCTCATCAGCTGACAGCAGCGGGTGGCTGCTGCCGTTGAAGCAGGGCACCATGCGCTCCTTGTAGAGCAGGAAGAACACAGCGATGGGCACTGGCAGCTGGGGAGGGGACAGAGAGGGGGTGAGCACCTGAATGTCCCAAAACCAGCCCAAAATCACCACAAAACCGTCCCCAAAATCACCCCGAAACAACAGCCCAGCTCCCCCAGCAGCAGCGATGGGCACTGGCAGCTGGGGAGGGGACAGAGGGGGGAATGAGCACCTAAATGTCCCAAAAACATCCTAAAACCACCACAAAACCACCCCTAAAATCACCCCAAAACCACAGCCCAGCTCCCCCAGCAGCAGCGATGGGCACTGGCAGCTGGGGAGGGGACAGAGAGGAGGTGAGCACCTGAATGTCCCAAAAACATCCTAAAACCACCACAAAACCGTCCCCAAAATCACCCCGAAACCACAGCCCAGCTCCCCCAGCAGCAGCGATGGGCACTGGCAGCTGGGGAGGGGACAGAGAGGAGGTGAGCACCTGAACGTCCCAAAACCATCCCAAAACCAGCCCAAAATCAGCCCCAAATCACCCCAAAACCACAGCCCAGCTCCTCCAGTAACAGCAATGGGCACTGGAAGCTGGGGAGGGGACAGAGAGGGGGTGAGCACCTGAACGTCCCAAAACCATCCCAAAATCACCACAAAACCACAGCCCAGTAGCACCGATGGGCACTGGAAGCTGGGGAGGGGACAGAAGGGGGGTGAGCACCTGAATGTCCCAAAAACCACCCCAAAATCACAGCTCAGCTCCCCCAGCAGCAGCGTTTTGAGGTGCTGGGCTCAGATTCCTCAGGGGAGGTGCCTGGAGAGAATTTCAGAGCAAGGAGAGGTGGGGATGGGAGATTCTGAGGCTGGAGAGGGGAAAAGAGGGAGAAAACTGGGAGAAAAATCTCCTGATCCACTGGGGCATCCCCAGGCAGCCCCAGGCTCCAGCATTCACCTGGAAATGGGCACAGGGACCCCAGACAAAGCTCCCAAAGTGCCAGCCCTACAAACCCCAAACGTTCTGGGGTCCCAAAGTGCCAAACCCCAAACCTTCTGGGGTCCCAAAGTGCCAAACCCCAAACGTTCTGGGGTCCCAAAGTGCCAAACCTCAAACGTTCTGGGGTCCCAAAGTGCCAAACCTCAAACGTTCTGGGGTCCCAAAGTTCCAGCCCTACAAACCCCAAACATTCTGGGGTCCCAAAGAGACAAACCCCAAACGTTCTGGGGTCCCAAAGTGCCAAACCCCAAACCTTCTGGGGTCCCAAAGTGCCAAACCCTACAAACCCCAAACGTTCTGAGGTCCCAAAGTGCCAAACCCCAAACCTTCTGGGGTCCCAAAGTGCCAAACCCTACAAACCCCAAATGTTCTGAGGTCCCAAAGTGCCAAACCCCAAACCTTCTGGGGTCCCAAAGTGCCAGCCCTACAAACCCCAAACGTTCTGAGGTCCCAAAGTGCCAAACCCCAAACCTTCTGGGGTCCCAAAGTGCCAAACCCTACAAACCCCAAACGTTCTGGGGTCCCAAAGTGCCAGCCCTACAAACCCCAATGTTCAGGAGTCCCAAAGTGCCAAACCCCAAACATTCTGGGGTCCCAAAGTGCCAAACCCCAAACGTTCTGGGGTCCCAAAGTGCCAAACCCCAAACGTTCTGGGGTCCCAAAGTTCCAGCCCTACAAACCCCAAACGTTCTGGGGTCCCAAAGAGACAAACCCCAAACGTTCTGGGGTCCGGCCCTGTGCTGCTGGTGCCCCAAGAGTGGAAGCCCAGGGGCTGTGGGGGCAGAGCAGTTGGAATCCTGCCCGAGGGAGGCGGGAGCTGCTCCCAGCCCGATCCCCGGCCATTAGCAGGGGTTGCTCAGCGCCTCCTGAGAGAGGAGCCCGCGGTTCCCAGGCCGACAGCGACAGCCCAGGGCCCTCCAGGGCACGGCCTGAGCACCGCAGGGAGGGCCCAGCCTCAGCTCTGGGGTCCTCTGTGCATCCAGGGGTGCTCCAGCACTCCGTGGTCCCACCACAATCCCCGCAGTCCCACCCCACACCCATGGGGCAGCAGCGATCCCAAGGGATGAGCCCACCCCAGCCCACACCCACGACTCCCTGGTGCCTCCAATTCCACAGGGAATGGCTCTTTTTTTCCCTTTTCTTTTTTCCCTTTTCTATTTTTTTTTTTTTTTTTTTGGAGGGGAGCAAGCGAAGCTCTCCCGTCTCCTCCCAGCACAGCCCAGCGCTGTTTACACTGCAACCAACCGGGGGAGAAAGCCAGGAAATCCTAAGTGACAGCTCATTGCCTTGTTTTCTACATGTCTGGGAGCAAGTGTGAGCTCCAGCTCCAAATTTCCTGCCTTTTGTTGGCTCGTGGCATGATTTAAATGTATGGAGAATTCCCCCCCACCCCGCCTCCCACCCCGCCCCTCCAGCCTGAATTCATTTATGAGGCCTGCATTGTTCTGGGAACAATGGGAATAGGAACAGTGAGTTCGGTCCCATGGAAGAAAAACGCATTTGCTTGATGGTTCTGATCCTTCCGGAGGTCAGCACCAGATTTCATTCTTCTGAATTGCAGATTTAGCAAAAATATTCCCTCAGAGGGCCTGGCTGCGCAGATAACGGCACTGGGCACTCCCAGCCTCCAGGACAAGGCCCCAGTTTGGGATTCCCCAATTCCCACTGGGGTTGTATTCCTGTCCCCCAGTTTGGGATTCCCCAATTCCCAGGCTCACTCTGTGTGCATCCCTGTGCCCCAGTTTGGGATTCCCCAATTCCCAGTCCTGCTCTGGGTTTATCCCCAGTCCCCAGTTTGGGATTCCCCAATTCCCACTGTGGGTTTATTCCTGTCCCCCAGTTTGGGATTCCCCAATTCCCAGTCCCATTTTCAGTGTATTCATTACCCCCAGTTTGGGATTTCCCAGTTCCCAGTGCCCCTGATATCCCTGGGCCCCAGTTTGGGATTCCCCAATTCCCACTGGGGTTGTATTCCTGTCCCCCAGTTTGGGATTCCCAATTCCCAGTCCCACTCTGGGTGTATCCATTGCCCCCAGTTTGGGATTCCCATTTCCCAGTCCCATTCTGGGTGTATCCCAGTCCCCAGTTTGGGATTCCCATTTCCCAGTCCCACTCTGGGTGTATCCCAGTCCCCAGTTTGGGATTCCCCAATTCCCAGTCCCACTGTGGGGTTTTCCCTGCTCTCCTGGACAACCAGATTTTGGTGCCATTTTCTCCCAGAATTCCTTCCCAGGATATTGTTTGCTGCTTTTTGGGTTTGTTTTTTGGGGTTTTTTTTGGTTTTTTTTTTTGGCAGGAAGATTTTCTTTTCCCTAGGGAAAAAGGGACACCAGAGCATTCCCCACCAGGAGCCAAGGGCCAAGCAGAGCACCCAACACTTACCAAATTTCCAGAGCTGCTCCCACCATCACCTGGTCAAGCAGAATTCCCAATTCCCAGCACCCAACACTTCCCAAATTCCCAGAACTGCTCTCTCCCCACCTGGCCAAGCAGAGCCCACAATTCCCCAATTCCCAGCACCCAAAATTCCCAAAATTCCCAGTACTACTCCCTCCTTCACCTGGCAGATTTATCCATCCCCAAAACCCCTCAAGCTGCTGCATCCCCCAGCTCAGCATAGGGATATTCCAGCTCCCTCCTAAATTCCCAGAGCTGCTCCCTCCCTCACCTGGCCAAGCAGAGCCCCCAATTTCCTGCACCCAAAACTTCCCAAATTCCCAGAGCTGCTCCCTCCCTCACCTGGCAGATTTATCCATCCCCAAAACCCCACAAGCTGCTTCATCCCCAGCTCCCTCCTTCCCTCCTGCTGCTATTTCTGGCTGTTCCCACCAGGAATCCGGGATCCTTCCCTGCCATTGTGTCCCAGGCTCCCGCAGAGCACAATGGAGAGTCCCACACTTCCCCTGGGACAGCACCTTCCTGACCAGCACCTCCCTCTGCACGGACATTTCCCCGATTTCCAGCCCCTTCCAACGCGCTGGGCGATGAAATTTCCGTTCTGTGGGAGAGCTGAACTCTAAAATATGGGGGGTTTTGTTCCAAAATCTGGATGAAAAGGCACAAAATTTTTCTCGTTGAGTGAAAGATTTTGGCTGGGAGTGCTCCAAGCGCTTTGTTTTGATTCTGCTGAGCTGCTTCATTTTCCCAAAGCAAACCCATTTTGCTTCAAAAACATCGGCACAGCTCCGCTGTCAGCTCGGCACCGAGCGCTCGTGCCAGAGTCAGATTGAGACATTTCCACTCGAAACAAAAGCAAGAGCTCGAAATGAATCATTTCAGCTCGTGCCTTGTCAGAATCCACACAAAAACCGGGCTGGGAATGTGGGATTTGGCCATTTTATAACCAAGCTGCTGCTCCTGGTTTCCATTTCTGTTGTTAACTCTTTTCACCCACGTCCCTGGAGGTTTAAAAACCCCTTCCCATCATCTTCCTCTGCTGTTTCCACCTTGAAAAGGGTCAGGACTTTGGAGCTGAGCTGCTCCCAGCAGGTTGGGGGGGATAAATAGAATAGAATAGAATAGAATAGAATAGAATAGAATAGAATAATAAAAAATAAAAATAAAAATTAAAAAATATAAAATAAAAAATATAAAATATAAAATCTAATAAAATATAACCCAGCATCTCCAGCAGGTTGGGGTGGTTAAAATAAAATAAAACACAATAAATAACATAACATAAAATAAATAAAAATAAATAAAATAAAAATTAATAAAAAATAAATAAAATAAATAAAATAAAATAAATAACATGAATAGAATAGAATAGAATAACCCAGCATCTCCAGCAGGCTGGGGTGGTTAAAATAAAATAAAGCACAATACAATAAATTAAATAAAATAAATTAAAAGAAATTAAAATAAAATATAAAATAAAATATAAAATAACCCAGGATCTCCAGCAGGCTGGGGTGGTTAAAATAAAATAAAACACAATACAATAAATTAAATAAAATAAATTAAAAGAAATTAAAATAAAATATAAAATAAAATATAAAATAACCCAGCATCTCCAGCAGGTTGGGGTGGTTAAAATAAAATAAAACACAATAAATAACATAAAATAAATAAAAATAAAGAAAAATAAATAAAATAAAATAAAAATTAAATAAAATAAATTAAAAAATAAAATAAAATAAAATAAAATAAAATAAGTTCCCTCCATGAGGATTTGGGGAAGGCATTCACAGCTTGGCTCAGGAGCTGAGCACATCCAACTCCCCACTGGGTGTTTGTTGTTTAACCCTTATTCCAAAACCTCCTTTCCACGTTCTGGTGTTCCTCCACAGCCTGTGGGAATCCTGGCAGTTCTGTATTCCACCCACCCACTGGTGCATGCAGCACTCCAGCGTGTCCTGATGCACAAACCCACAGCCCCTGGTGCCATCCCACCCCAAAAATCCCCTCAGGACACAGAGAGGGCCCTGGAAATTCCCAAATCAGACCAAACATCAGGTTCAAAGCAGGTGTGAAACTCTGCCTCCCAACTAAATGGGTTTGCTCGGGATCTGCTGGCTCTGGAGTAATTAAAATCACATTTCCCGCGGCACAGACAGAGCTGGAGGTGATTAAAGCTGCCCCTCCTCCCAGGCTGGGCCTTTTTTGGGTGATTCTACCCAGAAACTCAGCCCAGCACCTGCCCGAGCTCCTCCCACAGGAGGAAAACCCCCGGATGGGGGAAATTTGGGATGTTTTAATAATTTAATGAATGGAGAGAGCCCAAGGAAAGGAGGTGCAGCTCCCCTTGCTTGGTGCTGGTGGAGGGGTGGCAAACAGGGACAGGAGAAGGGGAATGTGCACATCCTCAAGCTCTGAGAGCTGAATTGCACAGGGAAGGAGCTGCCAGGCAGGATCACCCGTTTTACTGCTCCTGGGATGGGCAAAAGGGACACCAGGTCCCTCCTGTCCCCCTCAGAGGAAGGATTTTCACACCTGCTGGGAGCTCCAGGGAAAATAATAACCAGAGAAAGGCCCTGATCACTTCTGTCCCGTCATCCAGGGCATTTTCCTGGGAATGTTTCCAAATCTCCTCTTGCCAGGCCAGCCCCAGCTGAGCGGGAAGGAAAAACTCTGGATCTGAGCAGAGTTTGCTGCTCCAGCTCCTGCCTGGGAGGTGCTGGAGGCACCAACTGCCCCCAGCGAGCCTGGAGAAACCCCAGAATGGATCCCAGCAGGGGAAGAGCCCTGATAAAATCAGAATTTGGCAACAAATGATCCTTTCCTTGTTTCTCACCCCATTCCAGGACCCCTAATACCCCAGAATTGATCCCAGCAGGGAAGAGCCCTGATGGAAAAAGGATTTGGTAACAAATGACTCTATCCCTGCATCTCACCCCATTCCAGAACCCCCCCAAACCCCACAAACCCCAGAATTGATCCCAGCACATCCAGCAGGGAAGAGCCCTGATAAAAACAGAATTTGGCAACAAAAGATCCTTTTCCTGTGTCTGACCCCATTCCAGGTCCCTTCAAACACCACAAACCCCACAAATCCCTGGAGGAAGGACAATCCCAGCTGGATACTCCAGGGATGATCCCAGCTGGGAACTGTCACAGATGTATTTTATGAAAAATCCTTCCCTTAGGATCTTTTCTCCTGAGAAGCCTCAGGAACAAAATGTAAACATTGATTATCTGCTGCTGTGGGATGCAACAGGTGCATCTGTGATAGGTCTCATGTGGTTGTTTTTAATTAATGGCCAATCAAAGTGTGGCTGTCTCGGACTCTCTGGAGAAAAAATCCGAACAAAAGGATTTTTCATAAAATATGTCTGTGACAGGGTACTCCTGGGGGGATCCCAGCTGGATATTCTGGGATGATCCCACTGGATACTCCCAGGATGATCCCAGCTGGATATTCTGGGATGATCCCAGCTGGATCCCCCCAAACACCAGAAACCCCACAAATCCCTGGAGCAGGGATGATCCCATTGGACACTCCCAGGACGATCCCAGCTGGATACCCCAGGGATGATCCCATTGAATATTCCCAGAACGATCCCATTGGGTACTCCCAGGACGATCCCAGCTGGACCCCGCAGCACTCACGTTGATGAGGGCCATGATCCAGAAGGCGTAGGACACGCGTGTCACCACCATGCCCTTCATGGGCAGGGCGTAGTGGGACAGGTTGCCGGGGTGGTGCGGCAGCAGCGACTTGCGGATGTGCGGCAGGTTGCTGGAGGCGTTGGCCGTGCCGTTGGCCAGGATGCAGTTGGTGTCCGACAGGAAGGGGTCGGCGATCAGGGGGCTCAGCAGGGCCCCGAAACCCACGAAGAAGTGCAGGGCCTGCAGGAGGGGTGACATGCTGGAGCAGGAGGGTGGCAGAGCTCCCCCAACTCCTCCTCCTCCTCAGAATCACAGAATTAATTCAGTTGGGAAAGACTTTTGGGGTGATCGAGTCCAAACTGTGAGCTGACACCACTGTGTCTCCAGATCTGAGTGGCACTTTCCACAGACGCCTCTAGGGATGGTGATGCCACCTTCCCAATGACCAACCACCCATTCTGGGGAGAAATTCTTCCTAAACTCCAACCTAAACCTGCCCAGGGCAGTAAGGGCACCACGGTGCCACAGCCAGGCTTTCCAGGGATGGTGATGCCACCCTCCCAATGCCAAAGGAGCCTTTCTGGGAAGAATTTCCTCCTAAAGTCCATCCTAGAGCTGTCCTGGGTGGTGAAAGCACCACGGTGCCACAGCCAGGCTTTCCTCAAACACCTCCAGGAATGGTGATGCCACCCTCCCAATGCCCAAGGACCCTTTCTGGGGAGAAATTTCTCCTAAACTTCATCCTAAACCTGCCCAGGGTGGTGGGGGCACCACAGTGCCACAGGCGGGAATGGTGATGCCATCTTTCCAATGCCCAAGGACCCTTTTTGGGAAGAATTTCCAACTAAAGTCCACCCCAGAGCTGCCCAGGGGGGCTGGGGACCCCGCTGTCACCTGCAGGAAGATGGCAGAGTCCTTCTGGTAGATCTTGACCAGCTGCATGTTGGAGATGGTGTCGATGCAGCCCATGGCCAGCCCGGCCACGGCCATGACCACGGCCAGCACCACCACGTTGTGGCACAGGGGGATGATGGCAAACACCAGAGAGATGGCCAGGGACGAGGCAAACAGGGCCAGCAGGGACTGGGCCAGCCTGGGGACAAGAGAGAGGCAGGACAGAATCAGGGACATCACCAGGGCAGCAGTTAGAGGTGGGAAATGGATTTATAGAAAATTGCATGGTGTGGGTAAAGCTGATAAAGTGCTTTGTGATTAGGAGATACCTTCTGATTGTGATGGTGAGAATTGTAACACCTGTATTGTCTCACTCTTCACATGAGACTGAAAATTGAATAAAAGTTTTCAAAACACCTCTCAAAAACTCCATTTCTGGGTAAGAAAAAGATATAATCCAACAGCCACGCTGCCCCCCATCTCATTGATCTCAGCTCCTGCAGCCCCAGGTTTCCTGGTGAGAGGAGGGAGATGCTGCACAGCCCAGTGTCACCCACCCCTGGGCACTGCCACCTCCTCCTGCAGGGAAATTGAAATACGGATCTCCTCTCACAAGCTCTTGGAGATCTATTTCACACCCAAGATAGCTCAGCTACCTTAGAAGGCATAAAAGCAGCAGGATGGCTTTTGTGGGAGCGTTGGAAACAAGAACATTTTAATAAAAGGCAAAATAACAAAACTCTTTACAGAGAAAAACCCAGCCAGGTGCAAGAGGGATGGGATCTGTCCCCTCTGAGTGATGGGATCTGGAGGGGATCTGCAGTGTCCCCTCCAGATCCCATCCTTTGGAGGGGATCTGTCCCCTCAGGATTGGATCTGTCCCCTCGCAAGGCCAGGATCTGTCCCCTCCCAGAGATGGGATCTGTCCCCTCCCAGCTCTGGCAGTGAGCAGTGCCCAGGCTGGCACTGCATGGCCCTGGGGCTGCCAAGAGGGAAGGCAGGAAAGAAGGAAAGGAGGGAAGGAAGCAGGGAAGCAGGAGCAGAGAGTGAAGCACTGAGATGAGCTGAGATGGGGCTGTTGTGTTACAGCAGACAGAGTGGCACTGGCAGGTCCCTGTCACACCAGGGTGGTGGCAGTTGGTAATTATCAGTAATTGGGGAATGTGTGTCTGAGCAACGAAAACCCTGCAAGGAAAAACCTTATCCCTGCTCCACACCCCCAGCCTGGCTGGAGAAGGCTCTGAGGAGGAGGAGGAGGAGGGTGGAGGAGACCCAGCTGCCAACCAGGCCCTCCTGCCCGGCCAGGACAGCCTGGCCATGGCCATGTCACTGTCCCTGGGCCATGTCACAGATCTGGGCCTGTCCCTTGCCATGTCACTGTCCCTGGGCCGTGTCACTGTCCCTGGGCCATATCACAGGTCTGGGCCTGTCACTGTCCCTGGGCCATATCACAGATCTGGGCCTGTCACTGCCCTGCCGTGTCACTGTCCCTGGGCCATATCACAGCCCTGGCCCTGTCACTGTCCCTGGCCATGTCACTGTCCCAGGGCCATATCACAGATCTGGGCCTGTCACTGTCCCAGGCCTTGTCACTGTTCCTGGGCCATAATCACAGATCTGGGCCAGCAGCTGTCCCTGGGCCTTATCACAGATCTCAGCCTGTCTCTGGCCTTGTCACTGTCCCAGGCCCTGTCACTGTCCCCGGCCATATCACAGATCTGGCCCTGTCACTGTCCCTGGGCCTTATCACAGATCTCGGCCTGTCCCAGGCCATGTCACTGTCCCTGGGCCATGTTACTGCCCCTGGGCCATATCACAGCCCTGGCCCTGTCACTGTTCCTGGCCATTTCACAGATCTGGGCCCTGTCACTGTCCCTGGCCCTGTCAGAGCCCTCCTCCATCTGCAGCCCCACAGTGACCTGGCCCTCCATGTCCTGCTCGCTGCTCCTGCTGGTGCTAAGGGCACCTCCTGCCCCTCTGGCCGTGCCAGAGCCTCCCGGTGCCCAGCCCAGGGCAGGAGCAGCCAATGTTTTCCAAGCTGTGACTGCTGATGGTCCTCTGACAGCAGAGCCGTGGGATTTCTGGGGGAGGGAAGGAGGGAGGGAGCTGGGAGATGTGCACAGTCACGGCAGGAAAAGCGCCTGGCAAATGAGACAGGAGCAGCTCCGAGGCTGCTCCCTCCAGGGTGTGCAGAGGCACCAGAACTGGGGAGCCCAAGCCTGGGAGTGATGGGAAAACCTCCCAGAGAATCCTCAAAACTGCAAAATGTTTGGGTTTTTTGTGGAGATTTGGACTATCCTACATTTCATGGGCTGTCTGATGGGGCAGGGTGGGATGCAGGGTCATGCACACCCTGAAAAGAATGAAGAAAACTGCAGGACCCCCTTGCTGGCTGGGGAGCAGCTTCATCACCAGTGAAACACTGATTGGAAGGGTTAAATGTCCTTAATGAGCATTAAAAATGTCACCTTGGGTCAAAACTCCTGCCTCCAGCCATGGGTTAATGACACAATGGTGCCCCCTGCAAATGCCACCAGCCCAGGGTGGTGGCACGAGGGGGGACCAAAGCATTGCTGCTGCCAGTGCCAGGCCCAGGTGGGGTTGGGGACTCAGCTGAAGGATCTCCAGCACAGCCCCAGTTCCCCCAGTGCCCTCCTGGTCTCTGCCCACAGCACTGGGATCAGCCCAGGGCTGCCCCAAAAAAGCAAATTTTTAACAAGACACAAAAATGCCGTTTCTGAATTAAAAAAACCAATCCCAACACCAATCTGGGGCACTCTGGTGCTTCTGCCAGCAGCGTGTGCAGGGCTTCAACCTCACAATTCAAGCCTGAAATGCCCAGAGATGATTTCCTGAGACACAAAACCCTCAGGAAGCACCCAAAATGAGGCGCCCCGTGAACTCAGCCTGTCCTGATGATGCCAAACCTTTCCAAAGGGCTGGAAAAGCAGCCCTGGTGTCACAGCCTGGTCTCTGTGTCCCCAGCACAGGCCAGGCTCCCCTCCAGCAGGGTGTGAAATGTCCCAAATTTCATTTCAGAGCGCCCACAGCATGTCCTGCTCCATCCCAAACCCACAGGAGAGGTTTGGGCAGATCCTTGTAGAATCAGGATGGGAAATTCTCTTCCAGCAGGGTGTGAAAGGAGCCCTGCAATGTCCCAAATTCCATTTCAGAACACCCAGAGCACCTCCTGCCTCCATCCCAAACCCACAGGAGAGGTTTGGGCAGATCCTTGTAGAATCAGGATGGGAAATTCTCTTCCAGCAGGGTGTGAAAGGAGCCCTGCAATGTCCCAAATTCCATTTCAGAGCACCCAGAGCACCTCCTGCCTCCATCCCAAACCCACAGCTGCCCAGGAGAGGTTTTGGGCTGATCCCTGTAGGATCAGGATGGGAAATTCTCTGCCACAAGGTGCAAAATGAGCCCTGCAATGTTCCAAATTTCATTTCAGAGCACCCAGAGCACCCAGAGTGGTTTGCCTCCATCCCAAACCCACAGGAGAGGTTTGGGCTGATCCCTGTAGGATCAGGATGGGCAATCCCAGAGCCAATCCTGCACCCCCAGCCATCAAATCCCTCCCACAGGGATTTAGGAGCCCCCACCTCGGTGTTCCCGTTGGATCTCTCCAGCTCCCAGCACTGTTTTATTTTTTTTCCCCACCTCAGGGAGCGTTTTCCAAATCCCCGAGATCAAGAGGAAAAATGATAATCAGGCCAGCTCAGACTTGCAAAAGGGATCATCAGAAAGCCAAAGGCCCGAGGGGACAGGGACGAGGTGAGGATGTGGAGGAGGAGGAGGTGAGGATGAGGAGGAGGTGAGGATGATCTCACTGCAGCTCCTCTCGGCTCCTGCAGGCAGCAGAGCCACCCTCGGGGGGTTTGTGTCCCCAAAGGGCTCAGCCTGTGCTGCTCGCTGAGCCACAAAAGGTGGCAGTGACAGTGAAGGGTCCTGAGAGCTCCAAAAGCTCCAGGAGATGGGAATCTGACAGAGCAGGGGCTGTGAAAGGACAAGAAAAGGGTCCCATCCCCTCAGCCCTGCAGGAATGGGGTGGGTCAGGCTGAGAGGAGCCTGCCCAGGGCTCCAGCACAGCCCCAGTTCCCCCAGTGCCCTCCTGGTCCCTGCCCACAGCACTGGGACCAGCCCAGGGCTGCCCCAAAAAAGCAAAATTTTAACAGGACACCAAAATGCTGAACTTCTGAATTTAAAAAAAATCCCGACACCAATGTGGGGCACTCTGGTGCTTCTGTCAGCAGCGTGTGCAGGGCTTCGACCTCACAATTCAAACCTGAAATGCAACAAAATGGGGAAGGAAAATGAAATGCAGGAGCACTGAGCTCCCCAATGGAGCTGGCAGTGCCAGGAATGAGGATTTCCCCAAAATTTCACTTTCCCTTCATGTGTCTGAGTCCATCCCCTCAGCCCTGCAGGAATGGGGTGGGTCAGGCTGAGAGGAGCCTGCCCAGGGCTCCAGCACAGCCCCAGTTCCCCCAGTGCCCTCCTGGTCCCTGCCCACAGCGCTGGGATCAGCCACAAACCCTGGGAGCAAAAGCAAAATTTTAACAAGACACAAAAATTTAAAAATTGTTTTTAAAAATCCCAACACCAATGTGGGGCACTCTGGTGCTTCTGTCAGCAGCGTGTGCAGGGCTTCGACCTCACAATTCAAACCTGAAATGCGACAAAATGGGGAAGGAAAATGAAATGCAGGAGCACTGAGCTCCCCAATGGAGCTGGCAGTGCCAGGAATGGGAATTTTCCCAAACCTGCCCAGGGCTCCAGCACAGCCCCAGTTCTCCCAGTGCCCTCCTGGTCCCTGCCCACAGCACTGGGATCAGCCCAAGGCTGCCCCAAAAAAGCAAATTTTCAACAAGACACAAAAATGCCATTTCTGAATTAAAAAAAAAAAAAAGAAAAAATAAAAAATCCCAGCACCAATGTGGGGCACTCTGGTGCTTCTGTCAGCAGCGTGTGCAGGGCTTCAACCTCACAATTCAAACCTGAAATGCAACAAAATGGGGAAGGAAAATGCACAGAACTCCCCTCTGGAGCTGGCAGTGCCAGGAGTGAGGATTTCCCCAAAATTTCAGCTCCCCCTGGTGTGTCTGAGCCCAGGCTGCTCCTCCCAGCTCTCCCATCCCATTTCCATCGCTGGAGCTGCTCCTGCTTCCCCATCAGGGGCTCCTGGGGGTCTTTTCCAGCTGATTCCAGGCATGAAGAGTCCTTGGGGTGCTCAGAGGAGCTCAGGGCTCCTTTTGGGGCTCTCTGTGCTCCTGCAGGAGTCTCCAGCCCCATCCCAGGGATGCAAACCCTGGGAAAATCTGCATTTCCTGGGGCAGAGCTCCTCACACCTCCCAGCAAACCCCAGGGAGCTCAAACCCCATTTCCTGGGGGGCTGCTGCCTCTGCACCCCCAAAAAGGGACCAGCAGCAATCCAGGACTGCAGGACAGAGCAGCAGCATCGTTCCTCCATCCCCTGGCAGTGCAAACTTTGCATTTCCGTGAAATCGTGGAGCTGGGTCGTGCTGAAGGGACAGAGCGGCGCTGAAATCCCTGTCCCAGAGCTCCAGGAGCAGCTCCCAGCAGCTTCTCTGGGGACAGGAGAGCCTGGGTTCAGGTGCCACCACCCATTGCTGGCACCGCTGTCCCCCATGGGTCACCCAGAGCGATTTAACCCAAAGGAAGCTGTCACAGACATCTTTTCATGGAAAATCCTTTCCTTAGGGTTTTTCCTCCTGAGAAGCTGAGAGGCCTCAGGAACAAAATGCAAACATTGGTTATCTGCTGCTGTGGAATGCAACAGGTGGATCTGTGATTGGTCTCATGTGGTTGTTTCCAATTAATGGCCAATCACAGTCATCTGGGTCGGACGCTGTCCCAGCCACAAACCTTTGTTGTCATTTTTTACTATTCTATTCTTAGCCAGCCTTCTGATGAAACCTTTTCTTCTATTCTTTGAGTATAGTTTTAATGTAATATATATCATAAAATAATCAATCAGCCTTCTGGAACATCGAGTCAGATCCTCATCTCTTCCCTCATCCTGGGACCCCTGTGAGCACCAGCACAGGGAACAGCAAATTCTGCATCAGGAACCACCCTCAGCTCCCAGCCAGGCTCCAGGGATGCTCCACAGCAGGTTTCCATCTCCCAGCTGGAAAAATGACCTGCCCAGTGCTCCTCCCTGGCGGCCCCGAGGCCTTGAGGGTGCCATAATTTGATTTATAAAGCCTTGGCAGGCCGGCTCAGCCCATCCATCCCTGCAGAAGGGATTGCACCGGAGCTCCTGGAGCCTGAACAATTCTTGTTCCCACACATTTGGAGGCTGCGAGGCTCTGAGGGACCTCCCCACAACACTCACAAGCTCCAAATATCCCAAATATTCCCTCCTGCCTGCCTGGCAGCGCTGTCACTCCCCAGTGGGGACTCCACAAATCCCAAACACATCCTGCTTCCCAACCAGCACCGAACACACTTTTTCCCCCCCCCCCAAAACGCAGCTCAAACTTTGCGAATCCCAAGTCACAAAAGCCCCGATGGGTTCTGTGGGGCTTTGGGAAGGAGCTGGCAGCGGGAATTCTGCGTTTTCCTCCAAACATATGCGAGGCAGCCCCGGGGGCTGGCAGAGGCTCCGCTGCTGAGCCAGCGCTGCCGGAGCTGTGGCAGAGCCGCAGCAAAGTCCCCACGTGCTGTCCCCAATGCCCCAATTGTCCCCTCCACCCTGGTGGCACCAGCTCGCAGCTGCTCCAGCATCCAGGACTCCCCTCAATCCACAAATATCCCACACCCAGCGCGTTTTAAGGAGGTTTTCCCGAGGATTCCCGGGGGGTTCTCCCCGTCGAGGTGCGTGGATCTCACACACACACACACACAGGTTACATCACCGCCCCGGGATCGGTGACAACGTAAATTATCAGCTGATGCCCGAGCTGTCACCCAGCTCCAAATCAAACGCCTCCCTGGCAATCCTCAGCCCTGAGCCAGCCCGGGTGGTTTATTTGCGACACATCCTGGGCACGGGGCTGGCTCTGAGTCCCTTTTGGGGCTCCCCCCTTCCCCGTGTCCCCCCCTCCCCATCAGGACACCACGAGGACCACTCGCATCCCTCCACGTGTTCTCCCGAACTCCAGCCAAACGCGGCGCTGCCTCCATTTCCGACGCCGAGGTTATTAAAGCACGCTGCCAAAAATATTCTTGGTTGGGCGATAAACAACCAAGGTTAAGGAGGAAAAAAAAAAAAAATCCAGAAAACAACAAAACAAATAATTCCTGGCGGGAAGTTCTGGCTGGAACTCCACGCTGGGGCTGCTCCGGGGATGGAACCGCACCGGGAGCCGAGCGGGGCTGCCGGGGGAGGGAATCCCTCAGCGAGGGGGCCCCGAGGGCTGCGGACCCTCCGCGACGCCCCCCGTGCTCGCTTCCACTCGGGAGTGGTTTTTTCCTAAGCAACATCCACGGCTCGGTTCAGCCCCCAAGCCCGGCTCAATCCCCTAAACCTGTCTCAGCCCTCTAAGCGCGGTTCAGCTTCCCAAGCTTGTTTTACTCCCCCAAACCCGGCTCAATCCCCCAAACCCGGATCAATCCCCCAAACCCGGATCAGCTCCCCAAGCCCGGCTCAATCCCCCAAACCCGGATCAATTCCCCCAACTCGGCTCATCCCCACAAACCTGGCTCAGCTCCTCAAATCCGGCTCAATCCCCCAAACCCAGTTCAGCCCCCAAACCCGGCTCAGCTCCTCAAGCCTTGCTCAGCCCCCAAGCTCGGCTCATCCCTCCAAGTCCGGCTCAGCCCCAAAAACTCGTCTCAATCCCCTAAATCCGGTTTATCCCCCAAGCCTGGCTCAGCCCCCAAACCCGGCTCATCCCCCAAGCCCGGCTCAGCCCCCAAGCCCGGCTCAGCCCCCAAGCCCGGCTCAGCCCCCAAGCCCTGCTCAACCCTTGAAGCCCTGCTCAGCCCCCCAAGCCCGGCTCAGCCCTTCAAGCCCTGCTCAGCCCTTCAAGCCCTGCTCAGCCCCCAAACCCGGCTCAGCCCTTCAAGCCCTGCTCAGCCCCCAAGCTCGTCTCAACCCCCCAAACCTGGCTCAATCCCCCCCAAACCCAAATCAGCTCTCCAAGCTCCTCTCAGCCCCCCAAGCCCGGCCGGCGCTGCCCACCGCGCTCCGGGCTAAGGGCGGGGGGTCCGCGGGCAGCCCCCAGGGAGCAGCGCTGAGTTCTCCAGGCTCTTACGTCCTCTTGAAGACCCCTCCGAGGCAGCTGCCGAGCAGGAGGCAGAACTGCTGCGAGAAGAACACCCAGGTGATCTGCGAGAGCGAGCTCTGGGTCTGGCAGCGCAGGTCCAGCAGCGTGGGCCCCAGGAAGGCGATGCAGAGGCCGAAGCTGAAGAAGACGCTCCAGTAGGTGAGGGTGGGCTGCAGGTTCCTCCGGAACCGCGCCGACACCCGCTCGTCCCACCACATCCTGCGCTGCGGCGCTGGCGGCGGCGCGGGGCGGCCCCGCTGCTGGAGCTCCGAGCTCCGGGCTCCGGCTCCGGCCCCGCTGCCGCCGCCCCGCTCCCCGCTCCTCCTTCCCTTGCGGGATGTGGCTGCTCCCGATCCCGCCGCGCCGGGCGCTGGCTCCGCCTCCGGGGCCGGGCGGAGCGGGGCCTCCCTCCCCATCCTCATCCCCATCCCCATCCCCGCCGCCCCCGGAGCCGCCCCGCCGGACTCCGCGCATCCCTCGGGCACTGGAAGCAGCGCTTTGCTTCCCTCCCCCTCCTCCTCCTTATCCCCCTCATCCCCCTCATCATCGTCATCATCACCATCCTCATCCTCCTCATCATCCTCCTCCCAAAATGGGGCGACCCCTCTGCTCCCCCCCCACCCCGGCATTAAAGCACAGCCACAGCGGCTACACCCGCTGGAACAGAGCACAACGGAGCAGGAAATCAGAAATCGCGAAATCCAGAAACCCCGAAATCCAGAAATCCCGAAATCCAGAAATCCCCCCCTTTTTTTTTTATTTTTTCTGACAAGGTGCCACGGTGCCAGACAAACGCAATTAAAGTTGCCCCATCGCTGGGTAAAGCAGCACAAGGCGCCTTGGGGCTGGGGGAGGGCGCGGGTTTTGAAGCCGGAGCGGTTGGATGCTTACGCAAAAGGTTCTTCTCTAGAGGATGGGTTTATAAATATTTCACCTACTTTAGCTGGGGAAGGCTGGCAATTTTTAGAACGCTCTTTCCAGGCAGAGCAGCGCCGGTGGAGCCGGGCCGTGGCGGGGCGCTGGCTGCAGGTGGCCGGGCACGCTCGGGGACTCGCCCATCCTGTGACCCTGCGCCTCTGGAATGTCGCTCCGGGGCCGCAGGTGCTCATTCCCACCTGGCCGCGGCTTAATCTTTAGCCAACCCCAAATTACATGCCAGCCCTTGTTCTTCCGTGCCGAGAACACGGGGAGCCACCACCACCGGGACACAAAGGGATTGTGGCAGCGAGGGACGGTGATAACCGCGCCCCAAACCTCCCAAAATGCCCCAAACCCGAGGTTCCTGCGGCTGCCGGGCGCCTGAGGCCATTAAACAATCCAAGAGCGCCCCGAGGGCCGGCAGCGGTGTCCTTGGGCTGCGTGACCGATGGGGACAGCCAGGGCCAGGCGGGAATGAGGCGCAGGGACAGGGCGTGACTCAACAACGGCACGGCGGAAATGGGGTTTTATGGTTAGGGCATCGCACACCTCCCGAACCAGCCCGGATGGGGACGCTGAGCCGCAGCCTGGGGCTCTCCCTGCCGGCCAAAAACTCGGTTTGAGGCCGCGCTGCTGCAGCAGCCTCTGCTTCCCTTCCCCTGGCAGAAGGGGAAAAGGGTTGGGATAAAAAAAGCCTTTCCACCAAAAGGATTGGGATAACAAAGCCAAAGGGTTGAGATAACAAAGGGTTCGGATAAAAAGCCTTTCCACCAAAAGGGTTGGGATAACAAAACCTTTCTACCAAAAGGATTGGGATAACAAAGCCAAAGGGTTGGGATAACAAAGCCTTCCCATCCAAAGGATTGGGATAACAAAGCCTTTCCACCAAAAGGAAAAAGGCGGTAACAAAAGCTTTCCACCAAAAAGATTGGGATAACAAAAGCTTTCCACCAAAAGGAAAAAGGCGATAACAAAAGCTTTCCACCAAAAGGATTGGGATAACAAAGCCTTTCCACCAAAAGGTTGGGGCAACAAAATCTTTCCACCTAAAGTATTGGGATAGCAAAGCCTTTCTACCCAAAGAATTGAGATAACAAAACCTTTCCACCAAAAAGGTTGGGATAACAAAGCCTTTCCACCAGAAGAATTGGGATAACAAAGCCTTTCCACCTAAAGGGTTTGGATAACGAAGCCTTGCCACCAAAATGATTGGCATTACAAAATTTTCCATCAAGATTTTCCATCAAAAACTGCCGGGGAAGGCAGCCAGGAGCACCGGAGCACGCACCTGGGTGCGCTCCTGTGTCAGCTTCTCCAGGTGACCCTGGCTGGGTGATCTCCAGAGGTCTTTTCCAACCTGAACAATTCCAGGATTTTGCCTTTTCCCATCCACCTCCCTGCGCTGATGGAGGAGCTGATCCTCATCTCCCACACTCCAGGGGCTCTGCCCCAAAGGAACCACTGACAAAGCTTCCCCTGGGCCACATTCCTGATCTTTATCTGGAGATAAGGGACATCCAGGGACACCTGAGCTCGCTGCTCAGGGCATCAGCTCCCCGGGGCTTGAATTCCCACCCTGGAATGGCCCAGCCGTGCCCTCCCCAGCTCTGCAGCCTCTCTGCACCACCCCAGACACAAAGATGGCATCCAGAGGTGACAAATACAAATGTCAACCCAACCCCTACCCAGAGCCACACCAGTGACCCGGGTGATCCTGGGAATGTCAGAGTGCCACTCCTGGGAATATCAGTGCCAGCTCCCAGGAATATCAGAGTGCCAGCTCCCAGGAATATCCCAGTGCCACTCCTGGCAATATCAGAGTGCCAATCCTGGGAATATCAAGTACCATCTCCCAGGAATTACAGAGTGCCATTCCTGGGAATACCACAGTGCCAGCTCATGGGAATATCACAGTGCCAGCTCCCAGGAATATCACAGTGCCAGCTCCTGGGAATGCAATATCAAGTACCATCTCCCAGGAATTACAGAGTGCCATTCCTGGGAATACCACAGTGCCAGCTCATGGGAATATCACAGTGCCAGCTCCTGGGAATGCCAGAGTGGCAGCTCCTGGGAATGCCAGAGTGGCAGCTCCCGAGAATACCAGAGTGCCAGATCCCAGGAATATTAAGGTGCCAGCTCCTGGGAATATCAGAGTGCCAATCCTGGGAATATCAGAGTGCCAGCTCCCAGGAATATCAGTGCCACCTCCCAGGAATGTCACAGTGCCATCTCCCAGGAATACCAGAGTGCCAATCCTGGAAATATCAGTGCCAGATCCCAGAATATCAGAGTGCCAGCTCCCAGGAATATCAGTGCCACCTCCCAGGAATGTCACAGTGCCAGATCCCAGGAATACCAGAGTGCCAATCCTGGGAATATCACAGTGCCAGCTCCTGGGAATATCAGTGCCAGCTCCTGGGAAAACCAGAGTGCCATCTCCCAGGAATATCAGTGCCATGTCCCAGGAATATCACAATACCATCTCCCTGGAATACCAGACTGCCAATCCTGGGAATATCCCAGTGCCATCTCAGTGCCATCTCCCAGGAACGCCAGGCCCTTCCACCAGGGCTGCCACAACCCCTGCAGGATCTGCTTGCAAATAAGCCCCGAGGCGTGGGTGGGTTTAGTCAGCACAAGAACACCCAGATCCCTGCCGGCTGCACAGAAACGCGGCTCCCCTCCCCGGAGGGAGCTCATCAAAATGCGAGCCACAGGGGATGCGGGCCCCGAATTAGCTCCACGAGGAGGCACTTCCAGGCTGCTTTCCAAACTGGAATCGCTGTTGTGCTTGCGCTGAATTGAAACACCCCCAGCCCTGCACTTGCTGCAGGGGGAAGCCGTGAATGGAGGGAGGGCAGGGCTGCAGCCACGCGGTGCTCCACAGGGTGCGGGTGGCCTTTGGGAAACGCCTTCCTTCGCTTTTGCACGTTCCTGGGGCAGAAAGGATTTTTTTTTTAGACACATAAATTATTCTTTTCAACCAGAGGAACAATTTTTACAGTGCTGGGTCCTGCTTGAAGTGACTGCAGAGCTCCAGCCCCGATTTGTTGTGCTGTTGGAATCACCTCTCTCAGCCCAGGCTCAGCACAGTGGGGAAATCCAGCTCCAAAAATAAATTTTCTAAGGGTTTCCTTGGGGTGGAACCACCTGAGGCCCCACAGGACAGCAGATTCCTGGAGCTCCTCCAAGGCTCTCCCAGTGTTTGGGTTGGCAGCTTGGCCAAGGACTCGGAGCTCAGAGGTTGGGGAAGTTCTCCCTGTGCCCATTTAGGGCAAATTGGGGCTGAGAGACCCCTGAGACCCCCAGAGTTACCCCAGCAGCCACGTGTGATGGGCCCAGGAGCCCCGCGTGCGTTTGGAGATGGGACCAAACAAAAATCCCAGTGTCGCAGACATCTTTTATGGAAAATCCTTCCCTTGGGAATTTTCCTCCTGAGAAGCTGAGAGGCCTCAGGAACAAGATGTAAACATTGATTATCTGCTGCTGTGGAATGCAACAGGTGCATCTGTGATTGGTCTCATGTTGGCTGTTTCTAATTAATGGCCAATCACAGCCCAGCTGGGTCGGACTCTCTGAGACAGAAGCTTTTGTTATCATTCCTTCTTTTTCTATTCTTAGCCAGCCTTCTGATGAAATCCTTTCTCCTATTCTTTTAGAATAGTTTTAATATAATATATATCATAAATATATAAATATTTATATATCATAAATATATATATCATAAAATAATAGATCAGCCTTCTGAAACATGGAGTCAGATCCTCATCTCTTCCCTCATCCTGGACCCCTGTGAACACCAGCACAGGGGACAGTGGTGGCAGTGGCTCCAGGGATGTCCTGTACCATATACCCTACTGTATATATGACATTTTCTAAAAAATCCTTTCCTTAGGATTTTTTTCTCCTGAGAGGCCTCAGGAACAAAATGTAAACATTGGTTATCTGCGGCTGTGGAATGCAACAGGTGCATCTGTGATTGGTTGTTTCTAATTAATGGCCAATCACAGTCAGCTGGCTCAGACACAGAGCCTGAACCACAAACCTTTGTTATCATTCCTTTCTATTCTATTCTTAGCCGGCCTTCTGATGTAATCCTTTCTTCTATTCTTTTAGTGTAGTTTTAATGAAATATATATCATAAAATAATCAATCAGCCTTCTGAAACACGGAGTCAGATCCTCATTTCTTCCCTCATCCTCAGACCCCTGTGAACGCGGTCACACCCCAGCGCCACCTGAGCTGATAAGGAAATAACTCTGAAGCACTGAAGCAGCTTGAGGAATTCCTGAGGACACAGAGAAAGAGCTGCACCTGTTTGGCTGCAGGAAGGATGCTCAGCAAAGCAGAGACGGGACAGGGAGTGTTTGTTCACCTCGTGTTTTTCGGGGTCAGAGCTCCCGGCCGGGCTGGTTTGGGGAGCTCCCGTTCTAGGTCAAACCCCAGCCTGGAAGCCGCGGCAGAGCTCGTCACACTCGTCTGCAGGAGGAAGCGCTGCCTCCTCATCCCC